GGAATATAGGTAGCCTCTAAAGCTGGACGAGACAAGGAAGCAGATTATCTTTCGAAGCCTCTAGAATGAAAGAAACCCTACCAACACCTTGATTTTAGGCTTCTGATCTCCAGAACCATAAAAGAATAAGTTTGCGTTCTATTAAGGCACTGAGTTTATGGTAATTAGTTACAGCAGCCATAAAACACTAAACCAGGATCTAAATCTTGTGTCCCCTGAGCCTTTCTACCTGCTTGACTGTCAGGCCTCTGTCTGCCCTTAGAAGGCTCTCCCTAGTTTGAGTAATAGGATCAGTTGCTCTGGCTGTTTTTCATGTCCAAAGGAGCCCTTTCTGGACTCGTCCAGAAAGCCCACTATCACAAGCCATAGGAGAGTCTCAGCACAGCTGCTGCTGTGGGTGTCTCCCCAGGGTCTGCTCTTCCTTCCTGCTGGGTGTGCCACCTGCTGATCCTGACTTTTCACCCTGTCACCTGTCACGTAGACTCCTAGAGCAGCGCTGCTCATTCCTCCAGTTTTACCAACACATTCCTGAGCAGAACTCCCTCCTGCTGTATCTTTCTGGCCTGTGCCCTTCCTGCCTTTGTGGGTAGGCTATGCTGGGAGTGGTGGGGTGGGCAGTCATCATTTTTTGTCTTCTAGGTTTTTTTTTTTTTTTTAATCTTGTCTATCTCTCTGAGCCTTACAGCAAAACACATACCTTTCTGTCTAGTCTAAAGGTTGGGGCATGCATAGCAAGTCACCTAGATAGACATGAGGGGCCAGGGTGATAGTGGTATTGTGACCTTGACCCCCACCCAGCTCTGGCCCACCAAAGACAGGTGATCTTAATGAAGATCCAAGATATTTCTTGCGTTTTCAAGAATTCATGCTCAGAGTGCATTGTCTGTCTTTCTTTCTCTTTTTCTTTCTGTTTCTGTTTGCTGTAGGACGCTGCTCTTACTGATGTTCCTATTTGGCGTGTCTTGCAGCTTTGCCTAGTAACTATCGTTTTTCATCGTATCCCCTTAAATAATGGGACTTGGAGGAAGTAAGGGCTCTATAGGGGTGCCAAAAAAATTATGCTACCTGTGGAAATGAAGTTCACAATTTCAGTGGCTTAATAGCCCAATAACCATGTATTCCTTGTTTCCTTAAAGCCAAAATGACTGTTCCTAATGGGTGGGTGGCCTTTCCTCATGGTCATGGTCATTCAGGGAACCAGGCTCCTTTTATTGGGTTCTATTTCTCTGGGAAGCCTATGCTTTCAGCTAGCTGGTGGATGAGAAAGACAATGGAGCAGTGATTCGCAAACCTTTTGTGTGTGTGTGTGTGTGTGTGTGTGTGTGTGTGTGATTCTCAAACCTTAATGTGCATATGAATCACCAGGGGATCTTGATAAATTGCAAATTTGGATTTAGTAGACCTGCGGTGGGGCCTGAGATATTGCATTTCTTACAAACTCCCAGGTGGTGCTGATTCCCTGTTCAGAGACCATCCTTTGAGAAACAAGATAGTGAAGCAAGAGCAATGGGGGTCGGGGTGAGGGGAGGGAGGTAGCTTTTATAAACCAAGCCTGAAAGTTTCATACTCAGGCCCCATTGACTAGAATCCAGTTGCATGACCCACCAACCTCTAAAAGGAGGCTGGGGAATGTGATCCAGCTGTGTGCCCAGAACCAAGAGGACAGGTCTGTTCATCAACCAGCAGTTTCTCCAAATGGAGGGTAGATGGAGGGCCAAGCACTTTCACCAGCTCTGTCTTCGGGGGGTTGAAGCATCCTCTACCAACAGTCATCAGGGCAGCAAGATAAAGGGTAGCCCTAGACTCTTGGGAGTGGATGAAGGTTTTGTGGTTTTGCCTCCTCCGTGAGCTTGCTTCACCATTGGAACTGGGATGAAAAGAAGTAGGAGCCTGGGCTGGTGGAAGAGAAACCCTCCTGACTCGCGGTGCTGCAGATTCTAGGCAGCCTGTGTGGATTGCCAGGAGGCAGGAGCTGCAATGTCCACGGGGCATGGTGGGATTCGGAGTGAAGAGAGCCCGGCACTGCTCGCTTTTCAGGCTGCCTTCTCTACCCATAGCTGTGCCATACCTCTGTGGAAGGGGCAGTCACCCAAGCTTCATGGGGCTTGTGGGATCTCACTCATCTGTCCCCAAGAAACCTTCTGGAACCCTGTGGGATGCAGATGAACACATACAAGCATGGATGCTAGTCCAGTCTTCTTTCTGTGCTCTCTCACGCAGGGATTCCTTCCTTGCTGCCTCACTGGGCAGGTTGTGATAATTACAGAGATTACATCTGACAAGGGACATCTCTCTACTTACCCTGTGTTACTGCCAGGCAGTAAACAAGGAAACTCTTGGAAACACGGAGGTGTGAGGGGAGATGTGCCTCTGCACTGCTTTCAGTGACCCTTGTCCTAGGAGGCAGACGGTTTTCTGATTGGTGGGATGGTGAATGACTGGGAGCCTAGTGCTTGCTTCTTATTGGCTCATGTTGAGGGTGAGCCTACCCAGGGGCCCTGTGTGGTCATCCCTTGAGGATCTCTCAGACCCTAGGGATCTGGGTAGAGTCGGCAGGACAAAGTCCATGACCAGCCAGCTGCTGTGTGTGCTAGTACGGAGAAGAAAAAAAAAGGCAGGAAGCCTCATTTGGCTTCAAGTCCAAGTTACTTTCCTAATCCAGTTCTGTGAATAATAAAATAGAGTTTTGAACTCCCCTCCCCTCACCTCCTCTCCTCCCTTCTCTCTCTCTTGTGTCTTTTTTTTCATAAGATTTATTTGTTTGAGAGAGAGACTCTGAAGCAGACTCCACACTGAGCATAGATCCTGACACCAAGCTTGATCTCAGAACCCAGAGATCACGACCTGAGCCAAAATCAAGAGCCAGATGCTTAACCAACTCAGCCACCCAGGTGCCCCCCACCCTCCTGTGTCAATTTTTAAATTCATTCAGAACCCAGGGAGGATTGGCTACGAGTGCGTGGTACCCTCTAGAATCCCAACATGCAACAGATTGCCCGGCATTTACTAGCTTTAGTCTTCTGGGTCTTAGGGTGAATAAATGAGGCTGCTTCTCGAAGTGGCTCATCTTGATTGAGGATAAGCAGTCTTAAGGTTTCATCCTGAATGTAAGATTTTAGTGGTTAAAGTAAGATTTCAATGCAGTAGTGCTTTTCAAGGTGGGTATGTTCATCGCAGATCCCCTGAGTTTATCCACTGTATTTTATGATGCAGTTTATTTCATAGCATCATAGGGCTTTAAGTCACAAGTTCAACCCTCACAGTTGGTCGTGGGATTTCCTTAGATTTCTTTCCCATTGTCCAGTCTCTGTTTAGCCACCTCTAGTGGCAGGGAACTCCCTCTGTCTCCGGGCCATTGTTAGAAGGCCCTTTGAATGGAAATAAGCCTCCTGTGCTTTTTTTCATAGGTCTGCCGCTCAGACACCTTTATCAATTAGCAGTTGCCACAGTCGTGCCGCCCAGCAAATGGAGAGGGAACTCAGGGGCAAACAGCAGTGAGCATTTGTTCTCACACTCCTGGGTCTGAGCATCCATTGTGGACTGGCAGATCTGAGTTGGGCTTATTGACCGCACTGCTGTGCTCCTAGCTGCCCAGTGGGGATGGCTTGGTTCTTCAGCGCTGGCTGAGCTCCATTCTCCACCACACATGTCTGTTCTCCATCCTAAGCTGAAAGGGGCAGCGGCTACCTGGGGCACATTCTTCTCATGAAAGGGGGTGGTAGCACAAGAAGGCAAGCCCCGCTAGGCAAGCACATTTCAAGCCTCTGCTTGATTCATTCCGTTGACATCTTGTTGACCCAAAACAAGTGCAGCCCAAAGTCAAGGGATGGGGACACACCCTCTGCTTCTTCGGGGAGGCCCAGGACATGGATCCAGGGAGAACTAGAAGAACTAGAAACAACCGTTTAATCTGTCAAAGCAACTCCAAAGATGCTCACTTCCTCTCTATGGGCTGGCAGCCTGCTTAGTGCTTGATAAACAGTAGTCACATTTTTTGCAGAATAATAGTGTAAATGCCAAATTGGAGAGAATCTAGGTTTCCTCCATCCCTTCCTGACTGTGTGGCCCAGGGCAAGTTACTCAGTCTTTAAATAAAATGAAAATCCTCTACTTACCAGGGTCATTCTGAAGATGAAATTGAATAGTATATTAAAAAGACACCTAGCAAGTATTACCCTCCATTCCAGGCTGAGTATCTTCTGGTTGGTTCTCACATTTCTTCAGAGTTTATACTACTTTTTATATGCCCTCCTATGATATATAGAATCATTCCCTGTGCTGAATACAGTGTTAAGGGATAGTTTGCAATTATTCTTTGTACTGAATGCTGGAGTCCTTGTGATTGTGTTCAAATGACACTTCCTATATTGTAGAGCTGCTGCTTCCATTGAGATAGCCTGAGCTTGCCGAAGGTTTGTATGTCACATTTTACTCTTGGAAGTTGCATTTGACTGTATTCCTGGGGTTTTGTTCCATGTTTCCTTTAGGACCTGCTAGATATAATGTTTTTTCTGTAAATGTTTATAGACTGTCTACTTTGTAGAAATATTCATACGTGTTACGGTCTCTTAATTTTTATGACTAATTTTTAAAAAAGGTTTTATTTATTTTAAAGGGAGAGAGAAAGCACATGTGGGGAGAGTGGGAGGGGGAGAGAAAGAGAGAATTCTCAGGAGACTATGTGCTGAGCTTGGAGCCTAATGCGGGGCTTGATCCCAGAACCCTGAGATCATGACCTGGGTCTCAATCAAGAGTTGCTTGCTTAACTGACTGAGCTACCCAGATGCCCCCATCTCTTAATTATTAAACTGCCTTGCTGAGCAGTTATTAAAAGTCCCAATTATAGAAGAAGAGAGAGGGCTGTGGCTTCCTCAGGATCAGTCAGGCCCTCCTAGAGTGACTTGGTTTCTGACCACCATGGTTTGGGTATGACTGATGATCAGGAGGATTTTCTTTCTCTTTCTTTGTCTTTACTTCCCATCCCCTCTGTGGGTCTCCAGGATCCTTCATGATGGTGAACAGCTCTGGGAGGGCCTCTGGCCAGAAAGCCCACCTTCTCCTGCCAACCCTGAAGGAGAATGACACCCACTGTATCGATTTCCATTACTACTTCTCCAGCCGTGACAGGTCCAGCCCAGGAGCCTTGAATGTCTATGTAAAGGTGAACGGCGGGCCCCAGGGGAACCCTGTCTGGAACGTGTCTGGGGTCGTCACCGAGGGCTGGGTGAAGGCAGAGCTTGCCATCAGCACCTTCTGGCCACATTTCTACCAGGTATGGCATGCTATGGTTTCATTGTTTTTTGAAAAGTAATCCTAAATCTTTGTACCTCTTGCCTTCCCTAGACTTGTGAGGTTAAGAAAGGACTTCACTTACTCATTTATTGTGCACCTCATGTTTCCTGAGCTTCTCTTAGTGTGGCCCTGCTGGTACAGAGGTGATCTAGCAGGGCACCTGCCTCCCTGGAGGTCCTGCTTGGGACGTGGAGACCAATGATCATTAAGCAGTTACTGTAGAGTGGGACATAGTGGGCTCTCTGGGATGCTGGGGGGAACAGAGACATTGGAGCCTTTTATAAAGTGATTGCTTACAACGATTAGTTGAGGGACATACTATTATTATCCTTATTTTACAGACAAGAAATTTGAGGTTCTGAGAGCTGGGATAACTAGTCAAAAGATCACCCCTGGGGAAAAGGGTGTTTGGGGGAAAGCCATTGGGAAGGCTTCCAGGCAGAGGTGGCAGCCAGGTGAAGTCTTGAAGGATGAATAAATAATTACTGAAAAAGTAAGGAAAAAGGCATTTGATTTTGTCAGGGATGGTACATGCCGTTGACTGCAGGAGGAAGGGAGTGAGTTTTGCAGAGTTTGGAAACTTTCACTTGTTTAAGGGTAGGTCACAAAGGGGATATGCAGGGAGTTAAGCTTGCAGAGGCGAATTGGTCATGGCTGGCTTCGAATGCCAGGCCAAGGAGATTCAGGGGAATCCCTCGTCTACAGCACTGCTACTCCAACTGTTGCGAAAGAAGAGTTTTTCCCTTTCAACTCATTGTGGACCAGTACTTTCATGACTGTAGTAAAAATGTCACAGCAGTGCCACATTGCTGCAAACACTTCTCCCACTCCACCTACTTACACCACTGTGTGCTGAGGACACCCAGGGCACAGGCTTCTGGCAGTCTGTGGAGCACGCCTGGAGGAGCACAGCTCTGTGCCCACTTGGCCTGGGACCCTAGAAAGCTTTTCTTTTTGTTAAAACAACTTTATATATTTAGGTACAGTTTATATATCCTAGCATTTACCTGTTTAATTATGTTATCAGTAATTTTGAGTAAATCTAAGTTGTGCAGTCATCACCATAAAGCAGTTTTAGAACATTTTCATCACCCCTATAAATCCTTTCTGCCTTTTTGTGGTTATCTCCAAGCCTACTGTTGAAAGGTTTTAAGTAAGAAAGTGACATAGTCAGATCTGCATTTTAGAGAAATTTCTTTAAGGTCTGAGGCAGAAAATGGACCTGAAGCTGGCAAGGCTAGTGGCTGGGAGCTTCTGAGACATCCTTCAGTTCAATGTCTGTGATACAGTCCTTTCATTTTTTTTTTGTTTTTTTTTTAATAAATTAATTTTTATTGGTGTTCAATTTACCAACATACAGAATAACACCCAGTGCTCATCCCGTCAAGTGTCCCCCTCAGTGCCCATCACCCATTCACCCCCACCCCCCGCCCTCCTCCCCTTCTACCACCCCTAGTTCGTTTCCCAGAGTTAGGAGTCTTTATGTTCGATACAGTCCTTTCAGATGGAGCATGCAGGCAGCCATAGATAATATGTAAATGCAGCTGTGTTCCAATAAAACTTTATGTATAAAAACAAGTTGTGGGCCAGATTTGACCTCCAGGCCCTAGTTTGCTGAACCTTGATGTAGGTAGTAAAACTGAGGTCTAGAGATGGATACCGAAATGCAAGAGGACTCAGCAAATCACTGGAAAAGCTGTGACCAGAACCTGGATGCCTAATCTCAAGACTGCCCTTGCCACCATATAACTAAGTATAAAGTAACTGTGTCTGTAAGGCCATGGGTTTCCCCAGTGAGGCATCAGAGCTCCAATTAGAAACCCCTATCTAGGGCCCAACGCGGATGGATTATAGGATAGGGCTATAGGTGCAAGTCTTAGGAGCAGGAAAAGTAATCCAGGAGAGGAACAGTAGCACTGCTGGCCCTGCTCTTTGGTAGGATATGGAGGGGAAAGAGGACATTTCTTGGGCATTTCTTTTGTCCCAGCTCTGTGGTAAGTGTATTGCCTTTCATTTATCTATGTAGTATCTCCTTGTGTTGGAGAGCAACATGTCTTCTGTTCTAGACCAGGGCATATTATTGGTAAACTGAGGTTCCCATAATTCTCCTTAGGTCCTCTGACTCCAAGCTCAAGTTTCCTGCTTTAGGGGTTAAAAGCACATTATGAGAATCTTCCTCTCACTAGCTGTGTAATGTTTGATGTATCCTGTCATCATTTTAAATCAGTTCTCTCATTTGTAAAATGAAGAAGGAAATAGGTACAATGAAGGGTTCTTTAGTGGATTGAATGAGATAGCGTATATATTAACATGTCAGGCTTGTGGAGGGATTCAGCACTTGTTCAGAAGGAAGGGAGGAGGAACAGGAAAAGAGGAAGGAGGCAGGGTGCCTTCTGTGCAGAGATCCCCACCACAGTTGAGCTGTCCTCTGTTAGTTATCATCCCTGTGATAAGCAACCTCATCTGGGAGAATTTTCTGATTTCCAACTTGTTGGCCACTACAGCATCATTACGACACATTATATCCTCTGCTCTGAGCTTTGTGGTGAGAAAACCACTAATGTACTAGAAGCAGCAGTTTAACAGATAAATCTCTCTCTCTCTCTCTCTCTCTCTCTCTCTCTCTCTCTCTCTCTCTCTCTCTCTCTCACACACTCATAGACGCACACACACAGCCACTAATGGATAGTCTCATGGCCGGACACACACAAGTGCACCTACATGCTCCCAGAGTCATTGCCCACACATACATCCAGGGGAGAGATGAGATTCAAAGACACTTACAGAGTAGATTTTAAAATTCATCAGACCCCGAGCTCTGGTCCTATATGTATGATTCTGCAGACTAAATACAGTTTTAGTTTTTAGCAGTGCTGGGACTCAGATCGTGATGGCTTATGTATTCATTTATTAAAGTCATATTTCATAGTTCCAAAATTGACTTTTAGCTCTGTAATAAACAGGGAAATTTCATCTTTCCTATTACTGGGGCTCTGTGGCGCCAGGGTCTCAGCAGGGCCAGGGATGAACGTCCCTTGGCCCGGTACCTCCACACCTGCCTCTTCTCCGGGGAGCAGGGGCTTATTAAAACCACCTAAACTGTACTTTAGATCTCTGCCCCCTTGCAGGTGATATTAACTCTATTTTATGTTTTTAATGATTCTGAACTGTTCTGTCCCAAGGTTTAAAAAAAAAAAAAAGAGAAGTTTTTATCAGTTTTACAGCCACCTGCTCACTCTGTTTTCCAGCACCTGCCTGGGTGAAGTTGCCTTTTATTTAGCGCTTATAATTGCTATGTAGACATATGAAATCTAGGGCCTTCCAGGTTTGGATTCAGCTGAACTTGAAGTCCAGGCCCTTTCTCAGGGATCGGGCACTGGCATATGGCACTCTGTAAGTTTAGTGACTTCACGTGCAGTTCTGCAGTTCTGGGGGTGCATCTCACAGAGGGAGCCCATCTCCCACCCTTGACCCCCCACACACATTTCCTTTCACCCCTCTCCACTGAGCAGTAAACCCTCCTCCTTGTCTTATTCAGGCCTCTGGGGGCTGAGGTGGGAGAGAGACTCTTGATTTTACCCTAAGCAATCCCTCTTCATCAAAATATGTGGTTGTCTTCCTAAGAGGGGTGCTGGTGAGCCAACATTTTTTCTCTCTTTGGAGAAAATATTTGCAGCCCCTTAAAACTTCTGCTGTAGAGATTCTCTGCTCAAGGACTACAAAAGGGGAGGATAAAGTGCCAGTCCTGATCCCTTCTCCCAGCATGCATCCTATCTGGTTTTTTTGGAGAGGTTGAGAGGGACTCATCTCTGAGCCTCTCCTGGAAAATTAGTTCCTGGCTTTGTCCAACAGCTCATGCATAGGGAGAGGTTTGTGCTTTTCCACGCAAGTACTAGGGGGTCTCTAAGGTTCTAGAGACTGGGGCGTGTGTAGTTGACTGTAGGTCACGTGGTGGCCTTGGGGTTGAAGAATGTCCTGCAGAGAAGGCAGGTTTCCTAGCCTAGGCCTTCCGCCCCATCCCTGCCTCTCAGGGTTCCTGCCCTCTGACATGAGGCATCCCTGGGTGTTGGCATGGCCTACTTCTGCTCACTCTCTGCCCTGCGTCCCTACCCTCTGTAAGCACTAAAGTAGCCTCTACAATTCTTTACTCTTCTTAGTGCCAGCCTCATTGAGAGTTCAGTGTGGAGGGGACCTGCCTCAGCACGTGGGTCCAGGTAGGCCTGAGAGGGTCCAGCATGGACTTTCTCCCTTTCCTTTCTCTCTGGCTGTTTCTGATAATATCCAATCTTACATCTGTGTTGTTGACTCCTCATTCTCCAGGCATCGAGGGGGTCTATCTCATGGCAGCTTGCATGGTTTTTATTAGAAAAAAATTATAATTCTGGAGTGGCATGGCAAAGACGGGAGCCTCTTGGCTCCTGCACATTTTGTGAACATTTTGCTCAGAGTGACGGGGGCAGTGACAGCGGGGGACTCAGTTCTGCCTTGGGAAGTCCTTTATTTTCAGTGTCTCCAGAGCCTGCCCTGTGGTATAAAAATTCTGTGGACCCTCCTTCTAATATCTCATGAGTCTGGAGACTTCATCAAGGATTCTGTGGGCTGCCATGGTCTCTTTCTCTGTGCTTCTGTACTTCCTCTCCACCACCTTTCCCATCTCCCTTTGTTCCTGCCACCATATGTGCTTCTTTGTTTCCATGTAACTCCACATGGACCTGACTCCAGCCTTTGCCAGATTCTGACAGTCAGGACTCACATCAGAGAGTCGGTCGAGTGTAGGAACTTCAGTGGAAACTTGAGATGTGGACTACAGGAGGTAGTTATGTAGGACAGTCCAATAGCTTCTTTCCCTCCCCAGACCTACCACCATTCCCTGGCATTTCTCCTCTTACTGCCCATCACTCTCCCCAGAGTAAAAACAAGGATAACAGCAATATTTATTAACATCTTACCCTATATATTACAAACCTTTATGATTATTAA